CATTAAGAAAGAAACTTCCTAATTTTGTTCATAGCAATTGCCCCATAGGCCTGCTTTTGCTATTTTTAATAAAAAGTTTTAATGTGTCACTACTAAATGTTACATCTAAATTTAGTCCTTGTTTTCGTAGCAACATTGAAAATCCTTTCGCATTCTGCATTACTATGGGGAATTGTCAGAATGGCCAACATTATTCTAGACGGTTCACTATACTTTAAAATTCCATCAGGACTTTTCAGTTTTCCAATTAAACTCCACTGGGTGTCAATTCTAGCTGGTTTTATAACTTTATCCGAGTTTTCTAATAGTAAACTGCAAAACTGAGTGCAATTTTTAAAAAATGCATATGCATGAAGGGGGTTCCATTGATTAAGGATTCTAGATAAACATTTCTTCAAAGATAGCCAGCGTGTACATATATGTTTCAAAGTTTTTCCTTCCTTTTAGAACTCCTTTCAAGATAATAAATATTAACCATGTGCTTGTCCACATTTATTGGTAAAGAAGTTGCTCCTTTTTCAGCTGCTAAATTTAAGAGGTGACAGGTGTACCTCATAATTTGCGAATCCGAAGCTTTTTTTTTTTTTAAGATGTCTGCAACACCAGTCTTCAAACCTACCATTTCTGGTGAACCATCAGCAACAAGTGCTATGCAATTATCCAGAAGAATTGTATTTTCGTTAATTATTAGGTTGTCCGGAAAATAATGCAGGTTTTTGCAATTGTTTATTTTTCCTGTATATTTTTAGCAACAAAAATATTTTGAATTACACTGGTTTATATATCATTTTGAAGCTATATTTTTGCTCTATATTTCTATAATAATCATTTTGCTCCATAATTATTTTAAAAAATATTTACTAGTGTTTTTGTTTAGATGTCAAAACGGGATTTTCTGCAAATTTACTTTTATGAGTACAAGCTAGGCCACAGCGCAGCATAAACCACTCGAAATGTCAACGAGGTATGGGGTGAGAAGTGTATTAATGAATCTACAGTTTAATGGTGGTACTAAAAGTTTCGTCGTGGAAAATTTGACCCGGAAGATCAAGAGCATCGTGGACGCTCTTGAGCTGTTGTTGACTATAATTTGAAGACTTAAATTGAAACAAACCCGCGCATAACTGTTTGAGAGCTTGGTATAAGCAAAACAACGCTTTTTGGTCACTTGAACTGTATAGGAAAGTCAAAGAAGTTCAATAAGTGGGTGCCTCATGAATTGAGCGAAAATTTAAAAAATCGCCATTTTGAAGTGTCGTCTGCTCTTCTTCTCTCGGGGGGGGGGGCTTTTCTTGATCGAATTGTTACATGCGATGAAAAGTGGATTCTCTCCTACAACTAGAGACTTTCAGCTTAGTTGTTGAATCCCGGTCAGACACCACAACATTTTCCAAAGCCAAATTTGCACCAAAAGAAAATTATGGTGACTGCTTGGTGGTCTGTGGCCAGTCTCATCCAACACGGCTCCCTAAATCTGGAAGAATTATGGCAGATAAATACTGTCAGCAAATCAACAAAATGCACCAAAACTTGCAACGCATGTGCTCGGCATTGGTCAACAGAAAGAGGCCAGTTCTTCTCCATGACGATGCTCGGCCGCACGTCGTGCAACTGACCCTACAGAAATTGAACGAATTGGGATACGAAACTCTCCCTCTTCCTCCATATTTGCCTGACTTCTCGCCGACCGATTACCACTTTTTCAAACATCTGGATAACATTCTGCAGAAGAAAAGCTTCAGAAACCAAGACGAGGCCAAAAACGCCTTTGACAACTTGATCGCGTCCAGAACTCCACAATTTTATTCTACCAGCATAAATAAACTTGTATCTCGTTGGCAAAAATGCATTGATTTGGCTGGTGCTTATTTTGATTACTATAATTGTTTTCGAATTGAGTTATGATACTTTAAAGATATAGGTTAATCATAATAAATATCTGCATTATTTTCCGGACAACCTAATAGCAGTAATAATTCTAAGGTGGGAATAGAAAGTAAACTACACTCAATTTCTGAAGACACTTGATTAAAATAAACAACAACAATTGGATACACTTTTGAATCGGTATTATTCCTTCCATCTGTAGAATGGCAAAACGGAGCTGTTTTAATGCCGTCAATAACTGAAGATTTATTTTTCATACCCATTTCTTTAACAACTGCAGCTGTTTTGGTCCTTGCACATGAATATTTCTTAGTGATTTTGCTATCGGGAAACATTTTTCTAAATAAAGCTGCAGCATGATCCTATGCATTCAGTGGCAGGTTGTGCTCAAGTAAAAAGGCACAAAACAGGCATTCAGCATTAATAACTTTTTGGTTCTTTGTTTGCACAGTAAAATCTAAATTCTTATTTTTTTAACAGAATTCATATTGTCCTTGTGATTTTGTGTACTCACGTGCTTGAGAACATCGGCCCTTTCACAACGCGAAATTGAAAAATGGCAATGACAAACAGAGCACACAGCAAATGTATTACATTTCCGTGAGGAAATAGTAGAAGGACAGTCATCTGTGTACAATTTTTGAAAGGTACTTTTTTTACTTTTTTCGCAGACACAATTAACACAAAAGACCATAATTTCTTAAACTATTTCTTGAAAGCATGCGCACTCACACTAGTCAATGACAAGATGACCGAAATAACTGCTATAATCTTGGTTTGTGCTCATTGTCTAATATATGCTAGATGATGCACACTGGCGCTCGATGCCGATTGGAGAACCAGAACATAATGTTTTCGAACGCGTATGGTCTCACTCACAAAGCAGAAGCGCGGCATAATTTTTTACTGACAAAACGAGTTTGGTTTTCTTTTAGATGTAAGAGAACAAAGTATTAACCCAAGATATATAAAAATTGTGAGAAATTTTAAGAATAAGAAAAAGTCGGGAGAAATATATTGAAAACCAGGTTGGCAGGAGAACGGTCCAAAATCGGGAGTCTCTCGCCTAAATTGGAAGAGTTGGCAACTTTGCATTCAATGTATTACTTGTTGATGATGTGGACATGTAAGTCATGCCTCTTTTATGTGCAGTTTACCACCTCCTCAACGAGGTTCACCAACAGCTCAACTGAGAAATACATCAAGACAATTTCAAGAATTAAACAGCCAAAGGAATACCCTGCTTCCATTTTATAGCAGCTCACCTATTTCTACTAATAACAGTCTACACAACATCACCAGTTCGAACTTTCAGGATTTAAGCCTCAACACTAATCGCAAATCGACAACTGAAAGATCTGTGCCCACAAATACAAATGACAATCATTCTATAAAATGTATTAGAACTCATTCTAATACATTTTATAGAAGAATGTATTAGAACTCATTTCTAATACATTTTATAGATAAGTGTCCATTAACAGCCGTTATTATTAATAATGATATTAAAATGAAAACTCTGTGTGATCCCTGCGCAGACATCACCATTATTCTACAATCTTGCATTTCAGTTGATATAGTTATTCACCAGTGCCGGCAGTTCCAAGTTGTCAACCATGAAATAAAACCCATCAGTTGGATTTCTTTGAACATTAGTGTTGGCAACAAAGGGCAAATGATGTCCAAAGTTGGAATCCGCACCCAGGCTTCCAGGCTTTGATTTGACTGGCAGCAATATGTCCAAGCTAGATGTACTTAACATAACGAATAATTACGTATTTCTGCTGCATCTGCACTTCACCTGTTTGAATGCATTCACACATCAAAATTTAGCACTAACCGTATCACTTCTAGCAAACTCTCATTACTGCCATTAAATGATAATGTTTTGCCAGAAGCAACACTAAATATACTTCCGTTTCAAAGAAACTCATTCTAAAACCTGTAGGACTATCTGTGGCCCCAAAAAGCTGAACTGGATGCTTTAACTGCAAAATTTTTGGCATGTTGTATTCAAAAGATGATAATATTGGACTATGTCTGTATGCGGAATTCAAAATAGAATTACAACATATGACAGACCTACTAAACGTCCACCATATTGCCAGTTTTTTTAAGTGTTCAAATTAATAAATAATTAAAACAAGGAGATCACAAACTCTCTCTGCAATTCAAGGGACCATTTGTTATTGTTTGTCCAGTCAGGCCTTGTGCTACAAGATCCAAGTCAACAACACCAAAGAAAAATTTTTTAGAGTTGTCCATGTGCAACATCTTTGTCCTTACTTCCATTAAGATATGCAAATCAACAAAGTTACAGCTCAGAGGAACATGCTTCAAACTAAAATTTATTCTAGTTGCCTAAATTTAATTTTGAGTAGCACCAAATGTAAGGCTCATTTTTGTGTTTTGCATTTGCTCCCTCAAAAAAAAAAAAAAAAAAAAATCGACTTGTGGCAACAGTTCTTTGTTTCATGTTACAAAAATAAAATAATGTTGCCAGTCTTACTTAGGTTTTAGTAAATGAATTCTAAACAACTTAATTTCTAAATTCCATTATTATTTCTAATTTAAACTTTCTAACTCTACTAATCTGTTATACCATATACCCAATGGTATTTTTTACCTGTTAAAAAAACTTCTTTTATACAGTAATAGTAATGATATATTCATTACATTCCAGCTGAACAAGACTGAAAATTTAATAATAATTTGAAAACTTAAAATGCAGTGATAGAACATTATAGACCAGTATAATAATTTTATAGCAGTAACTGACAATTTTGATACAAAATGCTTTCAACTTATAATGAGAATATACCGCAGTCCCCCTTCTAAAAAAGGGATACGATGATCGAAATAATGAGGAATTATCTTTAAAATTATAGTGACAGGATATCTGAGAAGGACAGTGTCTGAAAAGCAAGTTCGAGAAGACCAATTAAAATGGACAAAATGCATCCCAATTTCATAGATCACTAAATTTTATATAAAATAATCTCAATAATAAATTACTTTTTCTGATTTAAGAACAGCAAAGAGAAGAAACATTTTCCCGCAAAATACATAATATTGCCCTACAGTAACAACATTTATAAGTAAAATTTACTTACAATACTGTGATAATCAACATTTACAGAACGTAAAAGCTGTTGAAAAGAATGAGACACTCCCCACTGGAACCGAAGCCCTGGAGTTTGCTCAACTTCATGTAATTTTTCCCACAATCTGCGACTGCAAAAGAATTTCAAAAGAGCTAATTATCACTAATAAGTGTAAAAGGAAAAAATTATTAATTTTATATGGTGGAAAGAAATTGCAAAATTTTATATTATAAAACAAAAAATATTCCAAAATTAAACACTGTAACCTTCCTTGAAATTCAATACACATTACAGTCAAAAGTCGTTAATCCGGACTCGTCGGGACTTCGGCGATTCCGGATTATAGATCATCAGTTTAAATATGGTAAGATGGCATGCAGAAATTACAAAATTAAAAATATGAACCATAATTTATGAAATAAAGAACAATTATGATCTAAAAGGTATCAAAATTTACAAAAAGAAAAGCTTAATATTTATTTGTTTACTTTATTAAACATTTCTTTCAACGTAAGTTGTTTAAGTTGCTTCGTTTCATGTGATAATACTTTCTCTTTAATTCTATTAAACAGACATAATTTCTTGTTTAGTTACAAAGTTCCGCTGTTCAAGTCCTATAATTGCTGTGTCGAGAATACCGACTAATTTGTCAATCGAAATTTTTTTGTTTTCAATAACCTCTGTGTCTCTTTCTTTACTATCGGAAGCGAATTATAATGACGAGGAACTTGTTTTAAATCATATCAAAGACAGAGTACATCGAGACAAAATGCATTTAGTAAGGAATTATAAGCCAAATAAAATAAAAACATCTGCCCTGAAGATAAGGATAGTGCTGACAGATCAACTTCCAATTCATTGCATGCGGCGGCGTTCCCCCCGCCGAGCAGCATGAAATTGATAAACAGATTTCGGATTTCGAAACATACTTTCGCTTTAGATCCTTTACATATTAGAAAATATATAATGGAAATTCTATTTGATATAATCGAAAGTTCAAGCTCACTTTTATAAAATTGCTCTAACAGTCTGCAAAAAATAATAAGCCGGATCCAATTCGAAGATTAAGGAACAACGCAATCTGCAACATTAACTGAATTAGATAATTTTAGCTTAGCTTATACCGTCTGTTATACATTAAACGCGCATGCATAAACGTTTTATGCGCATGCGCACACGCATATTCGCAGCCGTAAAGGTCTTACGCTCACGCGTAAACGCCTATGTGCATGCGTCAGCGCGACGCATGCGCAGAAATTTTGTAGCTTTGAGGTCCGGATTATAGATCATTATGGATTATGGGTGTCCGAATTAACGACTTTTGACTGTACTACTCTTGTCAGAAAAGCAATTAGGCAACTAATTCCACAACTTTTATGTATAAAAACAAGCATTCTATTTGTAGCATAAAAAAGATGTATTATTTTCTTATTAATTCTGAAACATACTTTTAAAATGCAAATAGTAATTTTATTTGGTTAATTAAGATGCTTTCTCTAATAACCTCTATTTACCAGGAATTCTGGCAAAGCCTATAAATAATTTAAGCATCTATTCACGAACATGCTTAGGGTTCAACACAAGATATGAACTAATATTAAACTCAAAAGGTAAAAGAAACACAACCTATAAATCATACCTTATGCAGGATTGAAATTAATGCTTTAATTTCGGATTGGCAATTAACGTCTGCTAACCATTATACTGTTTACAGCATTGGTTAATTAAAACATGCAAACTGATTTTAAATTGATTATATTATTGGAATATTCATACTGAAATATGCACATTTACAACAAATTCTGACATAAAATCGTACAGAATGCATATACAAAATAGACATACTATTTGGATAGTTACCATTCTTAGTTAAGCCCCCCAAAAATCTGCAGAAAGAATGTCAAATCCACAAAATCTAGATGCAGGAAAACATAAGTGAATTGGTTATTAAAAATTTCACCAGCTACAAATAGAATGAGAGTTTGAAATCTATTTCAAATACAGTTTCTTATTGAACAACATTGGATCCTATAAGATAAATAATTCAGTTATCCCCACCAAAGGAAAAAAATATTTCCACCATACTTGGCTTCTATCCCTTCATTCACTGTTTTTTGTCTGTGGGAGCTCTGGAAGTTCCCTCGTCAAAGATGGGAATGGTAATTAGATAATTGTTTTGCTATTCACCTGGCTACTTTCAGATAAAATTATAATTTTGCACTTTAGTGTTTTAAATTATTACAATTTCAACACATCAGAATATTTTTATGTCTTTCTCACATTTTAACAACCACTGTACAATTTTCCTTATTCTTAATATTCATTATCCAAAAATTTTGCTCGATAAGCATTGGACATGATAAGATTATTGCTGATATTGTTAATCTTTAGATAAATAATATGCCAGTGTACATATATACATTGGCCTAAAAATATTGGCAAGAAAAAAAAAAAAACTTTGGTATTTTCTTATCATCTACACCCCTAAAACATATTCATGAGACAATGAAATATGTTGCCTAAATAGTTATCTGGTAACCCTATACTGCCCTAAAGTATTTATATAGCAACCTACGTAAGGGTATAGCATATGCCTGTTTTGTTTGGTGTACAATGCCTAGGTTATATGCATTCACTTATCTGAACACAGTTACAGTTACATATAGGGATCAATTACAGTATCAACAAGTAATACAATGACCAGAATGAAATGTTGCCAAGCTTGACAACAAAAATTAGCAGCCAAAACCACTGCCAGCTTGACAATATCTCGTCATTATCGTGAGATGGCCATTTACTCAATGTTAAATAGATGTGCCCTTGTTTTCTTATTTTTCCAGCAAAGCTTCATTTCTCTTAAGCATTTCATGTCACATTACACAGAAAAATACAAAAATTTCACATATAATTTCACTACAACAGAATTTGTACACACTTCTGCACGTGGAAATTAAGGACTATCAATGAGAAAAAAGTTAAGGATTTATCAAGCCAATATGAACTGAATAAACTAAGCAATTATCAACACCTGAACTTCACTTTTGTAATACCACTTTTGTAAATTGTAATAATAAAATAAATCTGTAAGTAGGATACATTATTATTAAACATAGTATTTAATTATAAAACAAAATCAAGAATTTTCAAGTAACTAGCATTCAATTATGAAATTTCTTGAAGCATTTATATTTTACACTTATAATAATACTACATATTTTTAAAAAGATTAGTAGCTTTTTATTTAAATTTTACTAACAGGTATCTTTATATTGATTCTTTCTTTTCCATCTCATTTTGTCACATACTCACTCAGTCAAGAAGTGTATGCAAATTTTATGTCAAGTTACAGAAGCAGTGAAATAAAATAATAATCAGCATGACTCATAACAGAAGCTTGGCTGTTGCCACCACAATTGGTTGCTTAGAGACAGACAGCTGCTGATCAGAACATATGTAAATGCTTGACATTGGTAAGCATTGAAAGTTAATTGCGCTTAGTCTGACCCAGCTACAGTCAAAGCTTATGCAGATTTGCTGAAGCTGCAACCCAGTTTATACTATACAGGATTTAATATAAAGTTCCACTAAGTCATTAAAGCCCCAGAGATGATAGGTTGTTTTGTATTATTTTAAGTCTCATTAGCTGTAATACATTTTTATGTTAATTTTTATATTTTTACATTCTATACTGCATATACAATACAGATTAAGGAAAGGATATAACTCACCTTAACATGTAGAGATAACTTCTAAGGGTAAGCAGTTAGTTACAAATAATTAAATCACATCATTAAATACCCTTAGTTAAAGCAGTTCACATGGTTACAATTACAATATTTTTCTATTTCTAAAAATTCTCCATTAAAAAAGCACTAAGAACATTTTATAGCAGTTATAACTTATGATATTGATTCTGGTTAACTCGCATCAATTTCCTTCTCTTTAGCATCTTTTATAAGTTTATTTCCTTCAATAAACAAATCAATATTCCCACTAGTTCTCTGCTTCATCTTCTCATTCGTTAATGTTTCAGTAACGTACCCTTGAAGAATAATTTTCTCTCTTTATAAAACAAATTTTTTTTTATGAATTTCCTCATTTTAGAATTTTTCAGATTTAATTAAAGATTTCTGTTATTCTAAACAACTCCTAGTACTTAGAATGCATAGAAGAAGCTGCTAATTTTATTTCTTTAATTATATGAGTATTGATAATAAAGATGAAATGATATAACATCAAGACCAACACCGGAGCCAGTGTGGCATAATTTTCAGAATTTAGCAAAGCACCGAGCACCGAGCAACAAAATTTAGGGCAGACTCTAAAGTATGTATGGTGCATTGAGACATTATATGATGAATCTTGTAATTAACTGTCAGTTTTCAATTTCTTTGCTTTCTTTTATGATTGTATCTAGTAGAAAGATAAAACAATAAAGAGAAGATAAACATATTAAGTGAAAGACTTCTGGGATCAAAAGGAGAAAATTCAAATAATTTTCTTTTTACTATTCCTCCAAAAATTCTCTAAAAGATTAATAATTCATCACAAATTTCTAACAAAACACATCTATTACATGTTAATACCAGCACTTCATCACATTTTTCTGGAAATTGTAGGTCTACAAAACTTGCTTTCAAAATAATAATCTATAAATCTTGCCTTCAGACTTTCTGAGGTGCAAGGTCTAAAATTCGAAAGAAAAATTATTCCTACCAACTCTGTAAGAGCAAAAAGCCAAAAGATTTTTGAAAAAAATATTCAGAAAAGTGAAGGGAAAAACAAATTTTCCAAGAGAAAACTAATACCCATTTAAATATTCTAAAACAATTTCATGGGAAAAAAACTCTTAACATGAAAAAAAAGACAAATGTAATTTATTTTCAAATAATTTTATTATTTGTTTCAGTATTTTTGTTTTTTCTAAGAAGTGTTCTGGAAACTGTGCTTTATAGTATTTATTATCTTGTTTATTTTACAGAATCAAAATATTTCGAAGTCATCAAAATGGAAAGTAGTGTCACCTTAAAACATGGCAGGAGAAAATAAAAATGTTTTATTTAATAATTTTATTTCTTTAAAATAATTTTAATCTATTATCATTACTTTTATGATATTTATCAATGTTATTATATTTGAAGAAAAAAACTGACAAAACTTCGCAAATGACTGAATAAAAAATTTTGTATACAAATTGATTTTGAAATTGCCAAAATGCTGACAAGTCATCAAGTTTAGTGCTACATAATAAAAGGAATCATATCCCCAAAAGGGAAATGTTGTTTTTGATGCAATATTTTATGAAATCTTCATTCGCAAAAAAAGAATTAATACCATATGTTCACGTTTCAATCGAAGCAGGAGCTTGTGCTTCTAAAATTCGGGTATCTACCATTTATATTGAGAAGTAGAAAAAATTCAAATGTTAATACATAAAATATATATTTGTTAATGCATTGACGAAAAATATTCCTCCAAAATGTCAATTCACTTTCAAAACAGCAGTTGTAAAAAAACAGATAGAAATGCCAGATGAGTAAAATTAAAGACCATTTGCTGGTTTTGACTGAAATTAAGGACTGTTAAGAACCAAAAAATCTACGGACTTTTAAGGACCATACGAACCCTGTACAATTAAGACACAATAACATGCCTACAATTATTTACTTATACAAAATTCGTAATAATATGATTAACAAATCACAACCACCATCACAACTACTAAGCCTCATGATATTTTTCTTTTTTATTTGCAAGTAAGAAACATAAATATTTCTACTTAGACAGAACTTGGATAAGCTCTCAGCTTTTTTTTTTTTTTTTTTTTTTTTTTGTTTTTTTTTTTTTTTTTTTTTTTAAGGAAATTAATGAAGAAACAATAAAAACACCTGATCAACACCCAGGAAATAACAAGCTGCAAATGAAGTAAAATATATACATGTACTAAGGATAAATAGTAATTTTTAATTTTAAAACTTCCGAGTTACCTATTTAATCTTTATTATTTTTTCGCATTAAAAATGTCATTTCTGTAGTATTTTTATTCAAATTTATTTTTGACTACAGATATTAAATTACAGTACTTTACTGTTACATACCACACATTTTCAGTGGAATATCAGTACATTTCTTGTCAACTTCCACAATTGTAATTGTATTTATCAGTTTTTAATATTAGAATGAGATAACACAGAATCAGAATATACCTCTCATATGTAATTATTCCAATCAACAACTGCATTACTATTTGAAGCTGTAGTTTGTGAAATTCAACATAGTTATCTCTTGATACCCTATTTAAATGAATCATATGACAGCAATAAAAGGAATGCAGGATCTGGCAAACTACATTTGTGTTAGGACACCTTCCCCCCCCCCCCCCCCCAACATGACTGATGCTACCAATTCATGAGGTGGATATTTGAACACAATCTTTCTTTGCAAAAAGCAGCTTTTTTTTTTTTTTTTTTTTTGAAGAAACAGGATAATCCCATGTTCATTTTTCAAAATCACAAAATTCATTGCGAGGGAGGGAAACTTATGATTAGGTAAAACACATGGTTGCACAATCAATAGTTATAGAAAACAAGAAAAAAGGCAAATCAAATTGTCAACGCCTGGCAACAAAAAAATACAAAAAGGATGGAGAGAACCATCTAGTGGTAGGACTTTAAAAAAGTATTTAAATTTTTTAATTTGTATTGATATTTAATTTTTTGCATATAATTTACTTCATGCTCATTTAGAAATGTGCAAACAAAATAATTAGATCACCAAATACTTTTTTTTATTGTATATGTTCCAAAAATTAAAAATACATAAATATAAATTAATAAACCAAATAAAATAAAAAAGCAAAACATTGAAAATAATGCATACTAAATAATACTAACAGAACTAAAACTATTTCGGACACAAGATCGTCTGCCTGTCTGTGATATTTTATTTCGCAACACACAGTTAGCATGCGCAGCTCGCATTTTGTTTTTGCATTCTTGTAAACGCTAACTGTAACTTTAATGCTTTGCCTTTTTGCTGCGTTGTGTTCTAAAGTTGAAATCGCTGAATAAAAGGTGAACTACAGTCCACTCGCAATGATGTATTCTTATGTTTATTAATTCAAATTTAAGATACCGCTACGCGACAAATACTAAAAGACCATACATACATGGCACAATAATCTTTTAAAGTAAAAAAAATACAGCCTTGCCAAGGAATAGTAACTTTGAATTTTCATTATTTTCTTAATATTTTTTTTTAATATTTATGAACTATACAAGCGATTTTTTTGTGGCAGCATAGAAAAGCATTTTCAAAAATAATTTAATTAGAATTGCAAAAATTGACATTTCTTCACAGCTATTTTAATAACATTAAACGACAAAAAAAATATCCTTTGAGACACAATGGAATTTAACTAGTTTGATATAAAATTATAAAGAAACATATAAAGAGGTATTTTCATAGCATTTTAATGAGGGACATTCAAAAGTTTATTAATGAATTGTTCATAATGTCTTTACTGCAAAAGTTCATTTATAAACAGTTCATGTTTCTGGAAATTATGTGATCAATCCTGTGCCCCTACTTTTAATATTCATAAGGCATCCTCAACAAAAGAGAACATGTCAGTGCAAAATTTTAAACTAAACAAATGTTTCCAATGACTTTTTTTAAGGAAAAACTTCAAGAATTCTTTTTGCTCCTGAAAGAGAAAGACTTATGTCTGATTGCTCAGAAAAGTGATAAGACTTATTCAAAATCTACATCACAACTAAGGTTGGTTTTTTTTTGCCTTGGAAAATTTTATAATCTATTTTTATCTTATTTAGTGAATTAGCTCTCATTTAGAAAATTTAATTCAGTTTAAAAGATTTATTCTGTGATACTCTGATAATATGAACCAAATTGCTGATCACAATATGAGACATATTTTCCATGTTTTCAAATACTAATGGGTGGAACTTCGAAAATTTGATAACAGTATCCAAATGACAACATTAACTGCAATCACTTTAAGCGATGACTACTGTACTTTTAATGTGTTGATTTAACATTTTTAATATCTGTAAGCAGAAACTTGCAAAAATTTTTACTGATACCCATAGTTTCTATTTCAGAAGAAGGGAAAAGAACAATATTTAGAATTTCTATGTATTATATATTAAATACATATTCCTCACTCATGCTGGATGATTATCTAAAAAATAACCTTAAGAATATACCTCTTGTTACTTTGTTCCAAAATTTCAGATTCCACTTCATCTGATGTATCAGTATCATCCGACATATCAGGAACAGGGAAGATTGCATTTATTACAGTTGATATTTTATCAAAACTTCTTTCCTGCGACAAAATTCACAAATTTTAGCTATACTTATTTACAGTTATTTATAAAATTGTAACACATAAAATCTTACTTTCCTAGCTGAATATTTTTTCCGTACTTAATCTCATATATATATATATATATATATATATATATAACAAATATTCTCTACTCATATAAAGCTAATATGAAATTTAATTAAGAAATTTTAATTGCAAAAAAATAAAAATTAAAATTAAATTTATTATTGCGGCGAGCTAATTTACAATATAATTTAAATTCTAAGAGCATATGTAAATTAAGTGCACGTATCTAAAACCATGAAAAAATATACTATTCCAAAAATTTAAACTACATAAGTGAATAATGTTGAGCAGGCAAGAGACAGACTTACCAAGGAAAAGTTGCCTCCAAACCTAACTCTTCAATTACTCAATTCGTGTTTCGTCATCCATATAGGTAAGGGTAGAAGTAAAATTCAAAACCAAATGTTGTGAATTAATAAAAAAGAAAATTAAACTAGTGGAATTTTGAGAAATAGCAAGAAAATGACTAGAATTAAAGTTATTAAATGTCAATTAAGAGATTTTGATATAATTTTCCTTATCTTTGGCCAATATTTAGTTAACGTTTTGGTTAAAATTGTAACTTCAGTTTTAAATAATGCAGTCTAGTACAAAAAATTTCTTACAATAATTGTCTATTTTTTCAATTTGTAATTTTCTAATTCAAATTCATATTAAATTAATTCAATTAAAATCTTTATTCGAAATTTTAATTCTAATTTCACTAATCATTTTTTCATCTTTAGTAATTTGCAACATCCATTTTCACAAATAGTAGCAGTTCACAATTTTTACGTTTTTACACATTTTAACAATGCCTCAAAGTTCACAACATTTTTGCACACAAAACAAGCATTTTACATTTTACATTATTAAAGTTTACAGCATAAGTTTTACAATAGCTCTCACAGGTAGCAGCTTTACACTCTACTTTACACTGTAGTAGCACCCTCTATTTATACAGTTAGCAGTAACAAGCTACTCAACTTCACCTAGTTTAGCAAATGCTAGTCCTACTCAGGAATTCAAATATGTAGTTCTACGTAAGTTAAATTAAAACTTGCTATTTACTAGCCTTATTATTATTATTATTATTTACATTTTGACAGACTGTACACTGCTGGCCATCGTAAATGCAACACCCTGAAGGAAGCACGCAAGTAACATGAAATTTACAACATACATCAGGTGGGACATGCAAATGATTAGAATTTCAGCGCACACACACATCACGCGCGCCTCTGGCGCCACTTCAAAGCGCTATTTAAAGCTTGGAGTTTTCGACGATTTCAAGTTCGGCAATTTTGTTTTTTCAAAAACACGATCAATTATGCCTCGTAGTAAACAGCGATCATCATTGTCAAGTATCCGAGTTCGACAGAGGAACTATAGTGGCCTACCGAGAGTATGGATTATCTTTCAGGGAAATCGGTTGTCGTGTTGGATGAAACCAAACAACTGTAATGCGGATATGTGACCGTTGGATGCAGGAGGGTACGACGGACCGACGTGTTCGATCACATCCACCTCAGTGAGCCACTTTATGTGATGACATGAACATCATGTGCATGGCAGTGACCGATCGCTCATTCACATCACGAACCATAGCCCAACACATTCAGTCTGTAACGCATCATTCAGTGTCTGCGCGTACCATGCAATGCTGTTTACAGCAGAGTAGTCTGTCCGCAAGACATCCATTGCTTCATCTACTAAACCTTGAGGCAGAACCACAGACATCTCCGCCGCCAAAGGTGCAATAAAAGAAGGATGTAGACGGCAGAATAAAATGAAATTGTCTTTACTGACGAGTCACGCTTCTGTCTGCAACACCACGATGGTCGGATTCGAGTCTGGAGACACCGTGGAGAGAGGATGCTGAACAGCTGCGTTATGCACCGCCACATTGGTCCTGCACTGAGTATTATGGTATGGGGTGGTATTGGATATCACTCTCGCACTCTTCTAGTATGCATTGCTGGTACTTTAAAAAGCCAGCGCTACATCTCCAAGGTGTCGGAGCCAGTTGTCCTTCCTTACCTTCAGGGCTTGCCCACAGCCATATTTCAACAGGATAATGTGCGACCACACTTTGCATTGTCCAAGGGTTCTTCGTCAATCACCAGATTAAACTGCTTCCCTAGCCTGCTCGCTCTCCGGATCTTTCGCTGATAGAAAACATATGGTCCATGGTTGCTGAACGACTGACCCAGATTACATCCCAAGCTGCCACCCCAGATCAACTTTGGCAACGCGTGGAAGCTGCTTGGTCTGCCGTATCCCCAAGAACACATCCAAAGTCTCTTTGAATCAATGCCGAGGTGTGTCGCAGTGGTGATCTCCAACAACGACAGCTACTCTGGCTACTGATTCTGTAAGGAACCACACTTCACAGAAGTCTATAAATTTAATCATTTGATACTTGGTCAACATGTTATTTTAAACTACTAAATAAATTTTGTTGTGATATCTCTTGTCTTTCTTGGTGTTGCAATTTGGGTGGCCAGCAGTGTATATAGTGTATTTTAAGTTTACAAGCATAATTCGTGTTGGGAAAGTTTCCAATAGGCAAGAGTTTCTAAATTACTTTGGTTTTCTAAAAAAATGGGTTTTCTACTCTCAATTGACATTTAATTAGTTTTATTTCCCGTCATTTTCTTGCTATTTCTCAAAATTCCACTAGTTTAAATTTCTTTTTTAGTAATTCACAACATTTGGTTTTACTTTTGGTTTTGAATTTTACTTTTACCCTTGCCTATATGGATGACGAAACATGAATTGAGTAATTGAAGAGTTAGGTTTGGACGCAACTTTCTCTTGTCGCTTGCTTGCTCAACAATTATTCACTTATGTAATTTAATTTTTTGGAATAGTATATTTTTTCATGGTTTTAGATACGTGCACTTAATTTAGATACGCTCTTAGAATTTAAATGACATTGTAAATTAGTTTGCAGCAATAATAAATATTTTTTTTTCAATTAAAATTTCTTAATTAAATTTTATATTAGCTTCATACGAATAGAGAATATTTGTTACATTCAAATTTCATTCCTTGCAGCAATGCCGCAAGAGAAATATTTAAATTAAATTAAACTTTACTATATTCTTGTGAAACAATGTATATATATATACAGTCAAAAGTCGTTAATCCGGACTCGTCGGGACTTCGGCGATTCCGGATTATCGATTTTTCCGGATTATAGATCATCAGTTAAAATCTGGTAAGATGGCATGCAGAAAATTACAAAATTAAAAATATGAAACCGTAATTTATGAAATAAAGAAACAATTATGATCTAAAGGGTATCAAAATTTACAAAAAAAAAAAAGCTTAATATTAATTTGTTTACTTTATTAAACATTTCTTTCAATGTAAGTTGCTTCGTTTCATGTGATAATACATTCTCTTTAATTCTATTAAACAGACATAATTTCTTGTTTAGTTACAAAGTTCCGCTGTTCAAGTCCTATAATTGCCGTGTCGAGAATACCGACTAATTTGTCAATCGAAATTTTTTCGTTTTCAATAACCTCTGTCACTTTCTTCGCTATCGGAAGCGAATTATAATGACGAGGCATTTGATTTAAATCATATCAAAGACTGAGTACATCGAGATGAAATACTACATTTAGTAAGCAATTATAAGCCAAATAAAATAAAAACATCTGCCCTTAAGATAAGGATAGTGTTGACAGATCAACTTCCAATTCATTGCACTCCACGGTGTTAAAGATAAACAAAGTTTAGATAAACAAAAGTTTAGATAAACAAAGGATATGCCTTTATCCATTTTTTGCAGCAATTCCACTTTTTGTTTAATGGACTCTGAAAGATACTTTCGCTTTGTATATCCTTTACATATTAGTAAATATATATCGGAAATTCTATTCGAAATAATCGAAAGTTCAAGCTTACTTTTATAAAATTGCTGTAACAGTCTGCAAAAAATAATAAGCCGGATCCAATTCGAAGATTAAGGAACAACGCAATCTGCAACATTAAGTGAAATAGATAATTAGATAATTTTAGCTTAGCTTATCCCGTCCGTTATACATTAAAGGCGCATTCGTAAACGTATTTTGCGCAAGCGCACACGCAAATTCGCAGTAGTAAAGGTCTTACGCGCATGCGTCAACGCGACACATGCGCATAAAGTTTGTAGCTTTGAGGTCCGTATTATACATCATTCCGGATTATGGGTGTCCGAATTAACGACTTTTGACTGTACTACACTTAGTAAGGAATTATAAGCCAAATAAAATAAAAACATCTGCCCTGAAGATAAGAATAGTGCTGACAGATCAACTTCCAATCCGCGGTGTGAAATTGATAAACAGATTTCGGATTTCGAAACATACTTTCGCTTTGTAGATACAAATTACATAGTAGTAAATATATATCCGAAATTCTATTTGACATAATCGAAAGTTCAAGCTTACTTTTATGAAATTGCTCTAACAGTCCGAAAAAAATAATAAGCCGGATCCAATTCGAAGATTAATGAATAATGCAATCTGCAACATTAACTGAATTAGATAATGTTAGCTTAGCTTATACCGTCCGTTACACATTAAACGCGCATGCGCACAAACATATTTGCAGCCGTAAAGGTCTTACGCGCACTCGTAAACGCGACGCATGCGCAGAAAGTTTGTAGCTTCGAGGTCCGGATTATAGATCATTCCGGATTATGGATGTATATATATATACACTCTGTCCTTCAAAAGTTAAGGAACAGCATGTTTTTCAAAGCTCACTGTTTCAAAATCATTAGTAACATTTAAATCCACAGTTTATATGCATGATAGTAATGAAATTTAAGAAAATATATATAGAAAAAAAAAAAAAAAAAAAAAAAAAAAAAAAAAAAAAAAAAAAAAAGGGCCTACCACCTTTATTTTATAGAAATGAATACTTTGTATTTGAGTTGGAGAAAAAATGCAAAAATT